CCTGGACCAGCATAGGTCAGTCACCCAAAATTTTGCAGGGGAAGCCGCAGTAGCGAGGGGATAGGGGCACGACGTAGACATCACCCACACAGAGCCATTCTCTGATCAAACGGTAGAGCGCGTGCCTTCTAATACGCCAACCCAGGTTCAAAACCTACGTGTTGCAACTGCAAAGATTTCCGGAGCTTCGTCGCTATCAGGCTCTACCGGAGCCCATTGGACCGCCAGTAACGGGGACGCCTCTCCAGAACAGCTCAGGATCGATAACGGCTTGCTCAAGACCTCTCTGAGAATACAACCACAATTTTAATGCCATCCAAACACCCAACACTTCGAGTCTAAGCAAGTTCTAGGCACCGTTGGTCGAAATAGGTCTTGCGTTCGACGAATTTGAAGTGTAATTTTTCAGCAGTCTACGAAAATCGAACTTTTATCTCGAATTTGAACTTTCATTCCGTGAAAAACTCCTTCCATCTTTTTTCTGATTCTTTCTTCCACTTAATGAGTTTGAAATTGAAAAGGTGTAGACAGTAGCGAGAAGGAGGACCCGCGACTCACCCGTGGCTGCCGCCAGTTTCCTCATCTACCCGGAAGATCGCAGCACACCCACTTTCAAGTCCAGCCAAGATCCAAACCTTATCACGATTCCGCATAGCGTGTATGCCCAAGCACTTCTTGCTCGGTCGTATCTCCGTATGAGGCCGCAGCTTCAGCACTGCTGCCGTTTCCAGAGAGGAAGGGTGTAGTATAGAACTCGGAACAGTGTAGAGTACAGCATGGCCATCACAGAACAGCACGCATAGTATGCCTGAGGACTCATGGAGGCCGGTGGTAACTAGGAGTGTACTCACCGATCCTTGTCGAGGTCGCGCTGAATTCCACCCAGTGGAAGTCTGCAACCTGGCCGCCCACAATCAGCCGTCGAACGCTCTGCACCTTGTCCTTCTCCAATGGCCACAACTGAACGGGGAGGATGTCTCAGCTTACAGCGATCGGAAGGTAGCGGTTGTACTTCAATGATGGATTCAGTGCGGGAGGCCAAAGCCACGACCATAGGCCTGGTCTCATAGGATGGCGACAGCGACATCAGTTCTTGCGATCGTCCTGAAAAGTCACATCCGGGAGGAGGATCTTAACATCCTCCCTTACCTGCATTAATGATCCATCCTTGGCCATCGACCCATGCGCCCTCCCCTGGCCTAACCTGGGCTGTGTCGGGGGCGGCAGGGTCAGGCACATGCTCGAACACAACTTCGAGGGGCTCGGCACTGTGAACTGCCTTCGTTGCTGCACTCGCGATATCTTCCGTTGTGATATCCTACGCAGAGGAATCGAAGACCCACAAGCCGACTGCTTACTTCGAATTCACCCCGGCCAGCGCTCCATAGGGCGAAGAGGTCAGGTGGGTGAGGGAATGGCTCAGGCTGAGGCAACAGGAGAACCTTGCCGATCGAGTTCAACCATGAACGCTTACAAGTTTGGGACGCGCGCTTCTGAGTGCTGTCCAAAACCGAGAGGTCATAGATTTGGGGATGATTGGGGCACCACAGTTGGCACAGACCTTCCGAGCTGAGGGTTGGAGAGCGCTGCATGCATCACAGGCCTGAGAATACTAAGTGGAGGGTACTGCCGCATGGTGTAGTAGCGTACCCTGTAACCCGGTGGTGGCAGCTCCTGACCTCTGATCGCTAGCGTGCTGACAGGCTCCGATCCGATCGGAGGGACTACTGTCAGAGGGCTTATTGGTAGACCGCCTATGACAGTCGGCTGAGGAAAGAAAAGAATAACAATAGAGACGAGGCTAGAGACTATGCTCACCACGGAGCCTTCGCGTCTTTTTTTGGTCGTCCCCTTGGGGGTCATTTCATGGCCGCATTCTGTGCACTGCATTTGACGACATGGATTTATAGTGCCGCATTCGGAACATGCCTATATGACAGACTAACAGGTCGCTGGGGAAGGACTCGAATTACCTTCTTGCCAGCACCAACACCCTTACTCTGCCGGCCCCTGCCTGACCCATTCTTGGCTCCCTTCGGCCTCCCGCGTTTCTTCGACAGGGAGCCCTGCGAAGATTCACCCAACATTTCATTGGGGAGAGGGGATTGGCCTTGGGTGGGGTTGCTGAGTTGGGCGAAGGCGGCGAGAGCGGCTGCCTGATTAGGAGAAGAAATTCCGATAAAACATCGTCACCCAGAATTGAACATACAACCACACGAAAGCTAACTGGCGTTTATACCACTACACCAAGTACTCCACACTACAATCATACAGAGAGAAGCCCGCGTATGCTCGAGAGAACTAGAAGTGCCGATCGCATTGCAGAACAGCACAAGCCACCAAAACATTGGCGAAGCCTTGCTACGTTTCTCTACGACACCTCCGCCACCCAGCACTACCTCGAGGCCTGCATCGGTCGTCACTGCTTCTAAACCACCAAGCCCTTCTACTGCGGAACCCAATAAGCCTCCCATCTGCTCAGGGCTGAAGGCCACAGTGGGCTCCCCTTGCTGACCTCTCATGCCCGGGATGCTGGCATGAACACCCCCAGGAGGTGTAGCAGATGACATTGCAATGAACCCCCTATAGCCAACAATCATATACTCAAAGTCATCCCTCGCCTCCGCATGATACCGACTCTATCGATGACTTTGACGAGCCCTATGCGTGTCCCGATTAACTTCATGCTATGTACATCACCCCGGAAGCCTCGGTGTAACCCATTCACCGTGAACTGGACCATTCGACATGCTTTTACCGCGACATCGAGGATCAGCTCGTTCTGTCGAATATGGTTGACCGCCCGACATGGCTTGAAAAAATCAACGAATTCCTCCATAAAATTCCTTTAGTTCCGATTGCCTCGCCACCGGAACGCTATGTGGCTAGAGAAAACAGTACTAATGCTTGCCACACGGGGTGGGAAGATACACATTACAGCAACCTCTGGTTCAGCATCTTCTGTTCAAATTGCCCAGATGTAGTCAGGCGTCGTTTCGAGCAACTTTGTTGATGCTGCGATTTTCGGGTTGTGCACTGGAGAATAAGTGAGATCTATCGATCACTTCGTTAAACTACGGCACTTGGTGATAAAAATCAGTCAGTCAGAACGTCAGAACGTCTGACTCAGAGGTCTCCAGTTGGAAGGAAAGATTATGTGCCACCGCCACTAGCAGGAAGCCACTTGCATTGCCCCTTCCTTCACTGACTAGGCACATAGGAATGATAGGAGGTGACCATCACCCAGGGCCTGGTACGAGAAGCTTCGTCATTCACCTCGCCACTGGCCAAGGTCGTGTGAGACCTCACGGGCGTTCATTAGGGGCAAAGTCCGTCCTTACGACTGGCATCCCCGACTGATGTGATGCTAGGAGCCCATCGTGACGAGCGACTGGACTAAAACGCGGTATGTCACTGATGCTACGACTAGTTACAGATGCTGGAAGCCTCTGTAAAAGACCGCCTCTTGCCGAAAGCTCAAAGTTGTATATGGGCGTGACGCGCGCAGAACCGTCACGCGCCACGAAATTCGCACGCGTTGAAATTTCCTTCGCGGTGGCCTAACGGGCAACCACCAATCAGAGTAAGAACGATATCATCATAGGCCGACCCTCAGATAGAGGGTCGCCTAACTAAGGACGCCATTTGGCACGCATTCTTCTTACTCGCTGGCATGATTCACAAAACTCCGGCTACTAGCCGTGGCAAACTCAGAGACCACCATTGCACACTCGAAGCCTCGAAGTGCCCAATATCACTTACTGGACTACTATCGTCTTAGTTGACATTAGCTTTAACAACCCATGCCGTCGACAGAGGCCTACGTCCCCTGTTTGCATGATCCTCAAGTGATACGAACGGCTATTATAAAACCACAAAGACTGGCCTCGCAAGAATCGGATCGTCTCGAGATCTCTGGAAGGGAACTCATCGGGGATGACAGGTATTTCACGTGAGTGAGAGCAGCCCTTGAACTATCACAATGAACTGACGTAACAGATTACTTTCAGATCAGCGAACGAAGTCGGATTACAACTGTATAAGCTGTGGCCAGGCAAGAATCGTAAGACTACCCTTACTCGACCCTTGGGGGCATCGCTGAACTCAGGCTTCTACCATGGTGGTGCTATCATGCTGGGCCCAAGAGAAGACCTAGGATTCAACATCTGCCTTTGGATGTTCGTTCTGGTGAGTTCCGATGCATCCAGAGAACTCGTAGTAAGGACGAAGTTAGCCTCCACTGAAGTGTTCGTGAGGATAGTAGATACGCTGGCCAGGTACCAGCATCGATGTATTTCCTTGGTGTTGCACCCTGGCTTTGGCGGGACGATGACCGAGGCTATGGAGTCTTCGTTGTAGCTGAGGATACCCTTCTTTGGGTGGAAGATGGTTCTTGTCTTGTTAGGTCGTGATCAATCTGTGTCTTTTCCTTCTCACCTGCACCATGTTCCTGATGACAACAATGACTGACCCTGGGATAATCCCCAGAAGGGAGATACAGGTAGGCATTTGCTTGGGCTACCCATACCGCTCGTGAGTGATTTCGTCTCTTATGCTTTCAAATTACATGAAACCTCTGATCTGCGAGTTTGTGAGGGACAGTGGCCGAAAACCACAACACGGAACCCGTACACTGGGTCCGTGATTCGTGGCTTTCGGCAACTGCAAGGTGGTTGATCCCTCGTGGCTGGTCTCCCAACGTAGACCAGACCAGATGTGAACAACTACCTCTCGCTAGACCTCGGTTAAATAAGAAAAAAAAATAATGCCCCGTACAATGACACGAGCTGACTCGTGTTCATCGTTGAGGCCGCCATATTCTGCACGTATGAACATGAGACGGACCAATACTCGAATGCCCGAAACCTGTGAATCAGCACAATCGGGACATGAACTGAAAACTCTCCGACCGGCTTTCACCTACGGAAAAACTGCGATGCTGTTTTTCCTCCGAAAGATAACTACTGCATAGTTGGGGCGAGATAGGCTGAGTAGTGGTGCTTCTCGCCTGGCATCGTAGCTGAGTATGGACTGACGTGCTCGGGGATACTCTTAGTCATAGTTGAACCTGGATGGTACACGACGTTGAGGGTTTCCAAAAACATACGAAACACCAAGATCCTCCGAGATCTCTTTCGCTTGTGGGATGTCATTCTCACTGAGCAGAGAGAAGTCCTCTGTTGCCGATTCAATAGTGATGATTCCAACAGACTGAGCACTGGTGTGGCTCAGCCTCGGACGTGTTAGTAACGACCAAGCGACTACCTATTAGAAAGCGAGCAATGACCGATCAAGACACAAGGTCCTGTAGCTCTAAAGACATCCCGGGTCAATTTTCGGCCATAGCATACGCATCCTAATGTAACCGCACTGACCTCGATGATGATTGAGAATGGCGCCTTCTGATAGGAAACAACTTGCATATAGCATCCAGCCTCGATACGCATAGTGCCAAGTCTGGGCGACCTTGCGTTCATCGATTCCCTTCCAGATAGCCTCGGCGTCTTCTGTCGCCACGCGCGAACAACTGGGCCTCGTTCCGCACTCGTATGAGGATTCTTTGTACTTGCGTACCGATACTGGCTTGTTGGACTTCCAACACGAAGTCCAACCAGATGAGCTCACAGATGAGCAGATGAACGAAGGGTAGGGACAGTAGAGTCATAAGGCTGCGAGGGTGGTTCCATTGAACTCAGTTATAAGTGGTGTCGAACGTGTCGAGTGGTGCGCCCACCGAGAGCCTCCCATTGCGCTGATTGTGACAACTGTGTCATGCAGTTTGATCATCATTGCCCTTTTGTTGGTAACTGCGTTGGCCGACGAAACTACTTGTACGTGGTGAAGTCCTTTGTAACAGTGGGGATCTCTATCGTAGATACTTCAACATGTTTATATATGCAGCACTGTGTCTTGGTGCTTCTGTCATTGTAGGATTGGTATTATGGACCTCAGGCCAGCGAAGTGAGACGTCACTTTCGGACAACACTATAACTGTAAGTCGGCTGGCATCAATATGCATCTCCGTATTAGATAGAGCCTTTCTCAGTTGCTCGTAACAATAGTGTCGATCCCAACAGCTATAGTTATGCTACTTGGAGTCATTCTCGGCTGTTATCATGCGTGAGTCACTACCCAGTCACGTCATCGCATCTACCACCGTGTGTTTCAGATGGCTAGCATACGCAGGGTACACTACTAAGGAGTACCTCACTGGACGCCGTTCGCATGACACTGGTCGGCATCTTAGCACTTTAAGCTCACGAGGGCCGAGTCTTATACCGGACCTCACTCAAGAGGTAGAGTGTTGAAGCTTTCAACTCTGCATAGCTCGCGGCCAGGTTCGAATTAGATCTGGAGCGATAGATCTCTGTGAGAGAACTTCGTCTGTTCAAGAGATGCAAGAGCGGCTGTGATCTGTATGTATTTTTTCAATACTGTTCTATTGTAGTCCTGTGACATTTGCATCGCAGTTTTAATTGTTCGATCTGAAATCCTTTGTTCACTACTGGGCCAGGTTATCGTGTTCGTGTCGTGTTCTCCTAGTATTGGAGCATTCTTATCGCTTATTCGCACAATGATCTTCTGAATGAACCATATACTGTATTGGCTATGGATAGCAACCAAGGCACATGGGACTGCCGGGCTCTGCTTGAAAGTCGACCATTCCCCTTGTGGATATTCCCAATGGGACAGCGTGCAAGTTGAAGCCCTTTAATCTGAGGGTTCTACAGAGAAGATAATACTACTCAAACGCCAACACGCAATCGATTACGACAACGGAGCGCAGTCGCAAATCAAATCACCATCTCATCATTGGGAAACTTGAAACCCGCGAGTATTTCCGATGTCTAGTAGCTCTTGTCCGCTGTGCCGCTGGCGGGGGCTTGAGTGGATTCAGCCAATCACGATAAGACCCCAATACACCGAGCCTACGGCCCATACGATGAGATTCACCGGGTGAGTACGCTGGTTGTCAACGTACTAATGGCAGTGACTACCAGCGGCTGGTAGTCGCGGACTTGGTCTTCCGTAGACGAACAAGCCGGTGTTCGCATCTTGGGGTTATCATAGTGGCGTCAATAGATGCAAGAATCTCTTGGCCTCGCCTAACCTGCCAGACTGTGAGTTGTAAGTGATTGGGCCCGATGAGAGGGTTGGCTTTTTGGAAAAGAGAACCCGTCAAAGGCTAAGGTCATCGGTCGATGGGGCCGCGACCCGCATTTTCGAGCGCTGTAGTGGTTGGCGAGTTGTCGCGCCGCTCTGAACTCAATGAAAGTTTGCCTTCGTCAGACGAGACAGCCTGAAACGGGTTCATTAGCTATGCGCTTGCGTGTTGTGTGCGACGACAGTGCGGATGCAGGCGCCCGGTTGTGTTGACTCTCGACTGTCCGAGCGAGCTTTCTATGCTATTCGAACTGTCGCTAGAGGTTCTGATAGAACTTGCACAAAGAATTATACACTCCCTAACATGCGCAAGTCGAGGTTCCCGAACTCCCATCTCAGTGGGAAGGAAATGACGCTAGAAAGTAAATTGACAATGTCGCAGTAGCAGCACACCATGGAGCGCGAACTCGACTGCAGAGACGTTCTGAGCAAGCACAGCGTGGACGACCAAGTCAATAATCCGATCCATCTCCATATTTCAACCAATTTTCCGGCAATATCATATGCTTGTTCTCGAACTCGAACTCTAATCAAATTTACTCCGTGTTCGCTTGCGCGAACATGAACTACCGTGATGGCATTAGGAACAACACATCTGCTGGGCAGACGGTTGTTTTACGATGGTCGTGCTCGCGCGACTTGAGGCTTCCTCATTTTTCGATACCTTCTTTCCTCCTTACGGGCCTTGCTGGTCCTCTTCTTAGACATCATTGGCAACCATCACAAGCACCGCACAATACCATCACTGTGTGTCAACACAATACAACGCAAGTACTATTCAGGGCGAGCGAGATTTCTCACAGTCATTCCGTTGCGTACGAGCTCAAGTAGACTTAAACACAGACACTCCGAATTAAACCTTCGCAAAAGAATTTCTCTTCTCGTAACTGGTTTACCTACGGTTAAGTAAACTTCCCTTATCAGCGAGATCTCAGTTCTCTGCCATTGGGATGCCTGTGCATCATAGGGACCAGCGGCGAGGAGCTGGAGGGGGGTCTACCTATAAGGTATTACAGACAATTGTCACTGACTCCACCAGTGTCAGCCAGGCACAACGCATCATAGGCTCGGGGGCCTTTGGTGTTGTTTACGAGGCGAAGGTGCAGGAGACTGGGGAAACAGTCGCCATCAAAAAAGTGTAGGAACATCTGGGGAGGAAATTCGACGTTGGTAATGGACAGATTTGAAGACAAGAGATTCAAGAACAGGGAACTTCCTACTCTCAAGCAGCTCAAGCATCCCAACATTGTAACGCTAAAGCACGCTTTTCACACCGCAGCGGAGACCCCGACTGATTTGTAGGTTAACGAGAGGTTTGCTCATTGGTTCACTGTTGAATAGGTATCTGAACCTTGTGATGGAATACGTCCCTGATAACTTGTATCAGGTTATGAAGTGGGAAGCCTTTTTGACTCATAGTGAAGGCATGAGGTACCTTGTAGGTATTATGCCAAAGTTAAGGACTATATGCCCTCGCAACTGGTTAAGTTATATTCATATCAACTTCTGCGTGCTGTTGGATATGTGAATGCCAAAGGGTTCGCTCATCGCGATATCAAGCCGCAGAACGTACTAATCTGCCCGTCAACACACACCCTGAAACTATGTGATTTTGGATCCGCTAAGAAGCTCGCCATGGGGGAGGATAATGTGGCATATATATGCAGCAGGTTTTATAGAGCCCCTGAACTCATCTTCGGCTCTACGGGTTATACATCCAAAGTAGTAGTAGTAGTAGTAGTAGTAGTAGTAGTAGTAGTAGTACTCACTTATCAATGACCGCGCGCCACGAAACTATATCAGGTTGACATATGGTCTACAGGCTGTGTTATTGCGGAGATGTGTCTCGGGTGTCCGCTTTTTCCGGGACAAACTGGCGTTGATCAGCTGGTGGAGATAATCAAAGTTCTTGGAACACCAACGGCTGAGCAGGTTGGTACTTACTTGGTCAAGTCGATAGGAATGTTCTCTTAGGTGGCGGCGATGAACCCGAAATATAAAGATTTCAACCCAAGGGTATTCCCGCGTATAAAACCAATCGGGCTTGCTAACGCCCTGCGTGGGCGGCCTCAGATGGACCGAGGCTTTGAAGCTCTACTACGTGTTTTGTTGAGGTTCGAACCAGCGACGCGTATGTCTCCTATTCTGGCGCTGTGTTTGGAATATTTTGAGCAGTTGAGGAATCAGAAGGACCTTGGCCAGGAGATAGAGGCTGCGGGTGGCCTGCCGAAGGAGCTCTTCAAGTTCACCAGTGAGGAGCTCCTAGAAGTTGGTGACTCCAGGCGACTGGCACCTCGGCGTGTTGAGTCACCACAGATAGTGGCTGGCCCCGACAATACTACTCATACCACTCCATCATCATCTTCTTTCAAGTCAGACACGTTTCAACCACTGTCTAATTCTGCTACTATTACAACTAATTCTTCTTGAGCAGCAACAGCACATACCGTCTTTGCGCCGATTCTGTATTCTGTTGCCGTGGTGGTCATCGCTGTCAAAGGCTGCTTGAAAGTACTAGCAGTAGTTGGTAAGCACAATATTACAACATCTATAGTTATATACGGTATTATTATGCTCTTACGATTAGTATTTCTTTCCACTTTCTACTTGCGTCAAATAGGACCATTTGGTATAGTAGGTTTATATTTTTCACAATGGCGATATCAACTAATCTGGAACTACGTCCCACGAATTCAGATTGCACTCCTACATCACAACAGCCTAGGGAGTGCGAGACGGTCCCTATTGGTTACAATGGATATTCGGGTGATTTCCATAAGAGTCGTCGTGCATGAGGAATATAGCAGCATTTCAGATGATGAAGGGTCCGCTACGTCGTCAATTTCTACAGTGAGGCTCAGCAAAGCTCCCCGTTCAGGTAGGCGATCGTTGGTGTTGTAAGTTTGATCGTGTTCCAATCCACAGTGTTTTGGGCTACTTTACAAATCGTTAACATGTGCGGAAAGCGAAGCAGTCTCGCGGACGTTCGGTGCGGTAAATTCACTTGCTCCTGGAGTTGAGATGGAAACAGGTTTACAGCTGCATCTGTGGAACCTGTACATAACCTGCTACATCGGC